AGCCTAAGGCTGAGACGCGCTGCAAGCTTCATGGCCAAGAGGGAGTGGCCGTGGAGCTCGAAGAAGTTGTCGAATACACTGACCTCAAGTCCGAGGACGTTGGCAAACTCTTCGCAGAGCGCCTTCTCCATCTCATCGCGAGGAGCGACGCGCATAGTGGCTGGCGCCGTTTTCGGTGCAGACAGAGCTCTCTGAGCAAGCTCTTTCCGGTCGACTTTTCCATTTTCATTGATTGGCATTCGCTCCAGGATAACAACTCGTTCTGGGACCATGTAACCGGGCAGGACTGTCTTCAGTTGGTTGTAGACATCTTTTTCTAGTTGCGCTACAGAACTGTTGTTCACTGTTTCTGAATCGGGGAGAGACATGTTCGCTAGGTAGTCGGCATTGGCTACGGCAAATGCGAATACCTCCTGCTCGGCGCCTTGTCCTCGGAGAACAACGGCTGCGTCAAGAATGGCGGCATGGTTCAGGATCGCGTGCTCAATCTCTGGAAGCTCAACTCGGTGACCACGGATCTTAACTTGATGATCTATACGGCCGAAGAACTCGATCTCCCCATCCTGTGGTCGGTAGCGCACTTTATCTCCAGTGCGGTAGGCCTTAACCAGCTGGCCTTCAATCTTGACGTCCACAAAGCGGTTGACATTTAGAGCCGCATCTATGTATCCTCGAGCTACACCATCACCAGTCACGACCAGCTCACCAACCACGCCGGTTGGGACAAGCTGCTGCTTGGAGTCCATCACATAAGCTCCTGAGTTACTGACGGGCTTGCCGATAGGTACACCGTTAACGAATGTCTCAACGTCGCGAACCTTGTAGATCGTACTGAGCATCGCGTTCTCCGTAGGTCCATATGCGTTGATAACTCCGCGTTGAACGAGCGATTGCGCTTTGATAGCGTCTCGGCCGTCAAGCCGATCAGCACCCACATACAAATAATCAAGAGCGGCGATACTCGCCGGGAAGCTATCCAGACATTGTTTGACGAGTAAACTCGGCAGCATAGCCACACGGATTTGCTCCTTGACAAAGGCGTCGGCAAGAGCTTTGCTGTCCAGGATAGTCAAGTAGTCGATGCAGACAAGCGTTCCTCCATTGAGTAGTGGTGCGAATATCTCCCAGATCGATAGATCAAAAGCAATATTCATCAAGTGGGCAACGCGAAACTCTCTTGGGAGCATGTCTCCGACATTGCTACTCTTGACAAGTCGAACAATACCCCGATGCTCAATCATTACACCTTTCGGCTTACCGGTTGAGCCTGAGGTGAAGATGACATACGCGAGACTGGTCGCAGATGGGTGAACAAGCGCATCACTGTGGCTGCTGCGGATGGGGTGTTGCAAAGCGTCCGCGATCGATAGCATCTCAGTGTCGGGGAGGTTATAGCTAGAGACAGAGATGTTTGGCCCAGTGAGAACCAACTTGCGCCCCGGCACAGCTGACAAAATGGTCCCAATACGAGCGGCAGGGACATTGATATCGAGAGGCAGAAACGTCAGACCAGCTTTGAGAATACCGAGGTAGGCTACGATAGTCTGACAGGAACGAGGTGCTATAACGCCAACGAGACTTTCGGGTGCCATCTCTCGCTTGCAGAGCCAGGCGGCTAACATGCTGGACTGGCGGTCGAGCTCAGCATATGTAAGCTCACTATTGGAATCCTTGACGGCAATCGTCTCTGGATAAGCAGCCACCTGGTCGCGGAAGACATCAACTACGCTTGATTCCCGTGGATATTCTGTCCTTGGAATGTCGAGCAGGCTCAGGTCGCGAAGCTCCGAGCCGTCCGTAAGCGGCAAAGTAGCAATCGGCGACTTTGGCTCTTCGAGACAGCGGCGCAGAATCTCATAGAAGACGGAGAGCATTCCGTTGACTGACTCTGTCTCAAAAAGATCCGTAGCGTACAGCACACTGCCCTTAAAGCAATTCTCTTCCTGGAACAAGTGGAATTCCATGTCCAGGCGTGTAGTCGGTGTCAAGGATACGAGCTCTCCTTCCAGACCCTCTAGACGTAGGCGGCCGAGGTTTCGCTGCGAGTGGACAGCGAACATGAGTTGAACCAGTGGGTTGCGTGAGGTATCGCGGGATCCTGGTAGAAGGGCTGACACGAGCTGTTCAAAAGGTACGTCTTGGTTGGCAAAAGCATCTGTAGCAGTGTCACGGACCTGCTGTACGAGGTCTTCAAACGTATATTCGTTGTCGTTGATGGTGATACGCATGGGTTGAGTATTGACGAAGCAGCCGACGAGGTGCTCGAGCTCTGGTCTGTTCCTATTTGCGATTGGTGTGCCAATAGTAGCGTCCTCTGTCCCGGTAAGCCTGAAGTGAGTAGCGCGGAAGGCTGCCAGTAGTACGACGAAATGTGTCACTTGGTGAGCTCGACAATATGACTGCAGACTTTGATACAAAGAGCCTTCAACTATAGCGGCGACGATGCCGGCCCTGCCAGACAATGAATCAGGTCTAGGTTTGTCGCAAAGGAGCTCTGCGGGTGCACTGTCGACGAGCTGCTTTGTCCAGTACTCAAGCTGCTTCTGCTGCTGGACCATTTGCTGCTCTTGTCTCTGCCATACCGCGAAGTCGCGATATTGAATTGGAAGCGGTGGGACATCCGGCTGCTCACCTCGCAGAGCAGCGCTATAGAATGCATTCAGCTCGCGGCAAAGCACATCGATTGACCAACCGTCAGAGACGATGTGGTGCATAATGATGGACAAGACATGGTCCTCCTTACTGACGCGGAATAGACACACCCTCCATCCCGGCTCTGTCGTAAGGTCAAACGGCTTCGTCTGTTCCACTTTCAGTAGTTTGTCAATGTCCGTCTCTTCGTAGTTCGAGATATCGACCGTCCGGATACCACGAGAGCTGTATGGCTGAATAATTTGGACACCAACACCGTCTTGCTCTTTGAAAGTGGTCCGCAATGTCTCGTGACGTTTTTCCAAGGTCTGAAGCGCCGTAGTCATCGCAACGACGTTGAGCGGTCCGCGTAAGCGTGTTACTAATGGGACGACGTACCACAATGATCCCAGGTTGAACCGGTCAAGGAACCACAAGCGGCCCTGTGCGAAAGATTGCTCTACTGGCCACGAGTACTTGCTAGGAGGGATGGGGCGGTGTTGCTCTGTGTTTTGTTGGAGAGTAGTCGCTAGATCAGCGAGCACAGGGTTGTTGAAGATGTCTCTGACAGACACCATAGTTTTCAGCCGACGGCCAAGCTGCGCAGCCAGCTTCATCGCTGTAAGAGAGTGCCCACCAAGCTCGAAGAAGTCGTCAGTCGCACCGACTTCAACTCCGAGAATGCCTGCGAATACTTCACACAATGCGCTTTCAATCGCATTGCAAGGGGCCACATGTTTGACGACTCGTCTCTTTCTTTCCGCTGTCTGTGCCATAATGCCTAGCTCTTTCCGATCAACCTTGCCATTAGCATTGATGGGCATTTGGCTGAGTACTATGATCTGTGTTGGGACCATGTACGCTGGTAGCACCGCCTGCAAATGTTTGTTTACCTGTCTTTCGAGCTCTGAATCTTTGGCACCCCTGCAGACAACAAATGCGACAAGTTCCTGCTCGGCACCATCTCGCTGGGAGACAACAACGGCGGCGTCGCTGACAGCGCTATGGTTCAACATAGCGTGCTCCACTTCTGCTAGCTCAACACGGTAGCCACGGATTTTGACCTGCTGATCGATACGACCAAAGAACTCAATCTGACCATCTTGTGGTCGGAAGCGGACTCGGTCACCTGTGCGATACGCTTTGACTAGCTGACCGTCAATAGTCACATCAACGAAGCGATTGATATCTAAAGCTAGGTCGGTATATCCTCGAGCCAGACCGTCTCCGGTTAGGACCAGTTCGCCAATAACGCCGATCGAGACAAGCTGCTGCTTAGTATCCATGACGACAGCTCCGGAGTTGCTTACAGAGCGGCCAATAGGCACTCCGTTTGTGAATAGT